CCTTCGCGGCGTCTTTTTCATGACGGCGCTTGGTGGCGGCTTTCTCGTCGTCCGTCAACACCCGCTGCGGCTTCCTCTCCTCCTCCGAGCTGTGGGCCGCCGTCCTCCCGCCGCTCGTCGCCGCCTCCCCCTCCTGTGGGGGCGGCAGCGTGGCTCCGCCCATCATGGTCTTCACGTGAACCTTGGCGGTGGCTTTCACGATTTTTCCAATCAACTTCCTGGCGTCTTTCTTGGGGGGCTCCTGCGGCTCTGGGCCGCCGATGAGTTTGCTGCCGCTTTCCTTGGCCGCCGCCGCCGCGGGGGGTTTTCCGCATGGGTTTCCCACGGCGGGCGTGGGCGTGGCCAGCCTACTTTTCTTCCCGGCGTTGGCTTCTTGGAGCATCTTGTGGCCCCGCATCCGCTTGGTCTTGACTCTGATGGCCGCCTTCCTGTCAAGACAAGAAACAGACGCGGGCGTCACAGGCGGGCGGGTGGGCGCGTCTCTGGGGGTGTGCCTCCTCACGTGAAGCTCTTGGCGGCCGCCTCCCTTCGCCTGCCGCCCCTCGTGGCCTTGAGCAGACCCCGCAGCGATTTGAGGACGCTTTCCCTCTTGGCCGCCAGCCGCCGCTGCCGCTGCGGAGGGACGCGGCCGTCAGAAGAAGAAAGAAGAGCGAGAAGGGGACGCCTCACCTCGTCGTCCACGTGGCTTCCTTGCTTGTCTTTGGCGGCGCCGCCGCCCTCGCCCGCGTCCTCTTTCCTCGACCTCCTGGTTCTCTCGCCTCCGCCGTCCTTGTTCCGGCTCCCTTGACCGGCTCCCTTCTCGCCGTCTTGTCGAGCGTGGGCTCTCGTCGTCTTCGTCCCTCGCGGCCTTCTCGGCGCCGGTTCGGCCTCCGTCTTTGCCGGCCGGCCCGCCTCTTTCGCCGCCCCTTCCCTCCTCCGCCTCTTGCCTCCTCGGCGAGGCGCCGTCGCCTCCGGCTCGGCGTCCTCGCCCGCTGCCCGCTCGGTCGTCTTCCGTTCCTCTCCCGTTGCCGTGCTGTCGTCTCCTCGGCCGGGCGCCGACTCCTCCGTCGCCGCCTTGGTCTTTCCTTCCCCGCCTTCCGTCCGCCCGATGCGCTCCCTTTGGCCTTGGTTTGCCGTCGACCTCTCTCCTCGGCCGGGTGTCGACTCTTCCGCCGTGGGCTCCGTCTCGCCTCCGCCTCGCTCATCCTCCTCCCCGTCTTTCCTCTTCATCTTGCCTTCTCGACTGCCGGGGGTTGACTCCCCGGCAGTCGATTCGGTGATTCTTTCCTCGCCTCCTCCCCGCTCGGTCCCCTCTTCCGTTCCTTGCGCCGTCTTGGCGGTCGCCTCTCCCGGGCCGGGCGTCGACTCCGCCGCCTTCCCTTCGTCGGCTCCCGCCCGCTCGGTCTCCCGCCTTTCTCTTCGCTTCATCTTTCCCTCTCGGCCGGGCGTCGACTCGTCTGCGGTCGATTCCGTTTGAGCTTCCTCGCCTCGTGGCTGCCGGGCGGCCTGCGCCCCTCCCCTTTTGGTCTTCTCTCCCGTCGTCGCGGGTTCCTCGGTGGCGTCCTCAGCTTTTCTTTCCTCGCCCCTCTTGCGCTCGGTCTCGGAGATTTCCGCCGGCTTCCTCTTTCTTCCTCGGCGCGGCGCCGACTCCTCGATTGACACCTGCGCCTTTTCCCCCTCACCTCCTTCCCGCTCGGTCTGCTCCGTTTTCCCTTCCGGGGTCTTCGAGTCCTCGCCCGGGCTCGGCGTCGTCAAGTCCGTCTTTGGTTCATCGCCGCCGGGCTGCTCGGTCTCCTTCCGTTGTTGTCTTTTCACCTTCTCTTCTCGGCCGGGCGCATCGGCGGTCACGTCGGCCTCCCCCCCCTCGCCCCCCTTCTGCTCGGTCTCCTCCAGATTTCCTTCTTTCACCTCCGACGTCTCTGGTCGGCCGGGCGCGGACTCCTTCGTGGCCCCCCGCGCCCGTCCTTTCCCGCCTTGTTGCCGCGCGCTCTCCTCTTTTTCAAAGCCTTCCCCGCTCCGCCTCGTCCCTCCCGGGCTCGGCGTCGACTCCTCGGTTTTCGCCTTCGCTTTCTGGGCTCCTTCCGGGTTTGTCGTCTCCTTTCCCTCTCCGACTTTCTTTCTCTTCCCTCCCCTGCTCGACGCCGCCTCCCGCGCCATCGTCTGCGTCATCGCTTTCTCCGCTCTTTCCCCCCCGTCTTTTTCCTCGCTCATCCCCGCTCGGCTCGGCCCCGACGTTCCCAGCTCGGCCGCCGCCCCCCGCCGGTCGCCGCTTCCGCCCCGGCTTATGGCGGCCGTTAACGTCGGAGCGCCTTCGGCCGTTTCGGGAGCGGCGGGTGCACTGTGCGATTCGGGTGGCGCGCTTGAGGTTGGGGGAGACGGGACCTCGTGCGACCTCTCGGCCGCTTCAATGGCAACCTGGCAAGACAAAAAGAAAGAGCCCACTTTGGTTCACCGCAGAATAGTCCCACCCGAAGGCTTCTGAAAAAAGAAAAGTGAGAGAGCAAAACCTGGCAACGTTTCAATTGCCTTTGCTGATTTTTGGGGGCCGTTTTCTCTACAGTCGCGGCCGATCGCACACGTTGGAGGCCACACACGACTGGCCAGTGCAGTCGCGGCAATGCTTCCATTTGTCCCGCCCCTTTTCCTTCTTCTTCCTCGCTTCCGATATACTTTTCTTTGCATCCACCTGAATATCGAAACGCTTCTTCTTCATCTGAGCAACCCGTCATCCGCGATCTGTGATCAAGGCCTCGGATATCTTTTTTTTTTTGGTCTGTCATAGACACTCCAGTGGAAACACACTTCCCACTTTGTCACAATATACACATTTTTAAAAGCTGCTCGGATGAGGACAACGTAAAATAGAGCTTCGGAAGCACTCAACCGGGATTGGCTTGACGCAAGCGGTCGGCCGCTATTAGCCTGTCTAAAATCGCCTTTTGCCCCCCCCCCCCCACACACACACACGGAAACACATCACAAAATAACACAAAAAATGTAATATATATGTATATATACACACACACACACACACACACACACACACACACACAAGTGCCTACCTGGGCCCTCTTCTTCGCGTCGGCTTTACTCGGCCGCCCCGGCCTCCTCTTCACCACAGCTGGCGCAAGCGCCCCGGTGTGCGCGACGGCGCCGTCGAGCGGGCTTCCGCCATCCTCCGTTGGCGCGGACGCAGGCGGTCGGGACGGATCGGCCGGCTCGTCGCTCTTTGCGCGGCCGCGGGGCGGGACGCAGTTGACCAGGCATGGCTTCAGTCGCAGCGTCGTGGCCACCGGGTGTGCGCCGCTCGTCGCCGCCTGGCCTTCTTCAGCCTAACGGAGACGGTTGACAAAAAGACGCGGTCAACGTGAAAGCGCTTACAAATGGTCCAGAACGCCGCCGCTCGTATAAAGAGGGGGCACGTTACTCCTCCCCTGGCACCCCTTCACTGGCTCCCGATACATTTCTGTGATTGGTTTTCTCAATAAGAGCGCGGGCCTGGGGGTCAAAGTCTATTTGTATGACATTTCTGACTTGAGATTTCCCGCTTTTCCACGCCAGGTTGCTGTCCCTCAGCTCCACCAACAGCGCAGCGGGGTTCACTCTACAATCGTTCGTGTGCACGTGCCAACCTGCGCCTCGTCGCTTTTCTTCTGTGTCGAGGCTTTACTCGGCCGCCCTCTCCTTCGCCGCGCCACGACGCCGTCACCTTGGGACGCGGAGGCTTCCCGGGGGGTCGGGGTTTCCATCTTATTGTCCTCCGTTTGCGCAGATGACCTGGATAAAGATCTCCTCAGGGTTTTTGTCACCGGCTCACACGTTGCCTCTGCGTCGGATGCCGCCAGAGCGCCCGTCGGCCGGCGAGCGGCCGCCGAGTCGTTTGCGTCGCTCCCGGGACCGTGCGGGGTCTTCGCCGGCACGCATTTGACCACACACTCCTTCAGGCACAGGGTGCCGCTATCGCACGCGGCCGCTTCAGGAGATGCTTTCATAGCGGCGACGTCTGCATCGGCGCCCAGTCGCGTGCCCTGTGATTTTGCAGCCGACGGTGGCTGGGCGGGGGAGCTTTTGGCTGCGGCGGTTGTTTTCTTCAAGAGAGAAGCCGGTGTCGCCGGTGCATCAGAGGTCGCTTTCAAAGTGCCACTTGGTTTCCCGGGTGTACTTTTGGCTGCAAACTGAGGGTGGGGCACCGCCCAAAAAAAAGACAAAAAGAGCACAAATTAGCAGGTACCGTGGGCAAAATAGCTCCACCTTGTGCTGAATTTCCAAACGTACCATACACAATATCAGATTTCGGATACATCAATGTTTTGGTCTTTCAGGTTGCGTCTTCTGCTCAAATAAATGACCAATGAAGGAATATGAAAGATGGTTGATCTATTTCAATGACGACTGTTCATCCACAAAACACTTTTGAGTCGCAGACTTTCGAGCGTTCGCTACGACAACTTCAAAAAATTCCGCCCAACAAGCACGGCGTAAAGATAAGTCGCTCAATCGTAAAGTGGATCACGACAATCATGTCAACAAATCTGTGGCTTTATCATTTCAACCTGTCATACTCAATGAAAAAAAAATGTGAACATGTGGAGTGCACTTCTCCAGATACGAGGTAAAAACAGCACACACACACACACACACACACACACACACACACACACATTTATAGACATATATTGTGCATACCCACAAAATGACATTTTTTGCAGTTTAAAATTGTATCCGACTATATCGCAATGTCGATTTGAATTCAAAAACAAAAGTATACTGTGGAGCTGCGGTGCCCATCCATCCAGCCAAAGTTAGCATGCGAAGTGTTTGAAGTCGGCATGAGTTCGGACGGTATAACATTGAGCAAAAAAAAAAAAAACAACAAAAAAACAAAAAACAATTTGCAGTTTCACGGTCACATCGTCTTACAACTACAGCTCTAAAATATCATATCTTGAGGAGTTTGCGCCCCAACATGTAATTTTTTGTGCTCACTTTCTCAGATTTAAAAACTACAACAATAATCTGCATATGACCTCAATAAAACAATCAGCACAATCAAGTATAGAGGTTGAAACATTGTTCAATGTGGCTCCAAATCATTTTAGAACGTTTATGCCCCCCCCCCCGCCTCCCCACACACACACATCCACAGATTTTTTCAACTTATATCCTGTCAATTAGTCAATGCTCAAAATTGAAAAATGTTTCTAACTAACTAGTGTGAAGAAATGATCATCCCCCAAATGTGGCCATAAGGGTAAGAAAGAGATACTGACTGTGTTTTTCTTGCCAATTCCAGGTGTGTTCTGGATCTCCCACATCCCCTCGGAGAAGCCTTTGAGGCGGACGCCGCTGCCGTACTTCAACTTGTTACCAGAGAACGGGATGATGCGGGCCGGTGTGAGGTAACCTCTATTTTTTGGGGGGGTGGGGGTGTGGGGAAGTAGAGTCAGTCAGCTGTTGATGGTGTGGCAACACAAGAAGTGATGTCCCAAGGGGGCGTGTACGTACATCTGATGGGTCCCGAAAAAGAAGACACCAATCCGCCTCTTGTGTGGCTCATCGCATTTACAGATCTGTCAAGAAAGACAGGAACACAAGTCAATAAATTCGGTTGTGTTTAAAAAAAACACAACACAACTGCGTATTATTGTTTTGGGGTTGAGACTGAGAGATTAATGTTATTTTGGGCCGGTCCGTGCATCTCTGTCTTCGAGCGTGGAAGCGCGCGCGCGCGCGTGTGTGTGTGTGCGTGTGTGTGCGTGCGTGCGTGTGTGTGTGTGTGTTCGTGTGTTACCCTGGCCGGCCAGTGAGGGAAGCCCTTCATTTTGGCGAACACGAGGTCCCCTGCTTTAAATTGGCATTTGGCCGGCGGCATCTTGCTGCCCTGTACAAGTCAAATAGAAACATAAATTAGTGAGATCGAGGAAAAAGATCGCGTTGCTGTTCATTCGTCACATGTACACGTCACGGAACCGCGCCCACGTGTCGCCGTTTCAGTATCGAACACCACCGCCGAACTCGGTGAACAAAACGTGATTGAAGAAGCGCCGGGTTCGAAGTGATTAGCATCAATGGTAGGCAAGCTAGGACATTGTTTACAAGGATGCTAGCAGGGATGCTAGCTGGGAACGACTTGTTTCTCTGGGGGGGGATTTCGGCGTTTACTCGCCGTCGCGTTTCGTCGTCGGACGCGCGAGAGCAGACGAAAGCTTCTTTTCCACAGCAAGTCCGATCGCTGCCCGTCTTTTTGACCGCTCTCGCGGTTCCGCGCCACCGGAAACTTGCTGGTTACTACGCTACGTGTCACGTGACCGGAGCGGAAGTACTCGCGTCACGTGACGCGCAAAGCATTTTCCGCTTCCGCTTGCCGCATTAGAAGGGGTCAAAGTGGAATGTATAAAAACAAAAAATACATCAGAAGGATTGCTTCGAGTTCAGCTTGCTTTTTTTTTTAAACAACAATTTAATATGAAAGTGTTAATAAGAGGAAGAATTCTTTGAACTTGAGCGGCTCTCTTATTTCAGTCTGAAAAGAACAAGGGGGCATCGCACTGTGTGCTTTGGCGGAAGTATTGATATACTTGTGCAGAAAACCACTCCTGTGAAGTTGACGTACCGGTACTGATTGAATAAAACGTTAAAAGAAAAAAAACACTAGTTTCTCCTGTCAATTACAACTACAGAACATACATTTTGATAACAAATGCTTTCCTCTGTTAATTACCTTAAATAGCGTTCACACAAATCAGGTAAGATGCTGGCTTTAATGCAACCGAAAACTTGTGAAGCGAAAAACAAAAAAATGCAACTTAGCTCATGGCCACCGAACAAAATACATTTCCCCTTTTTTGGGGGAATGAGACAGACTTTTGAAGGGCAGAACATGGAGATTTTTCAGCTGGCACAAGGACAACACATTCGCTACAAATCATCGTAGTTCCACCGTCATAAACGCCAAGGCTATTTTGACAAAGTAAGCCCTAGCCAGCACAGACACTTGGCTTGCTTTCAAATGTAGGGAGTAGAAGTAAAACATTGTGAGAAACATCAAAATTCAAGCAACACAAAATGGACTTTTAATCGCTGCCACTGTCACTGTCATCCACTTCCTCCTCTTCCTTTTTCTGCGGCTCCTCAACAAGTCCTGAGAAAAAGTCGCTGTCTCCGAGAGCTTTTTTGGAAAGCGATTTCATGCGTCCATCCTTCTTCTTCCTCTTGCGGTACTCATTGACGGTGGTCGTGGCTAACGAGGAGATGTCCCAGAACTTGATGAGCTGGTCGTGGGCACAGCTGAGCAGGAAACGAGAGTCCCAGCTTTTAGCGAGCTCTTCGACGGGTTCGCCAACGTGCTGCCCGATGCAGCCGATGATGCGGTTGGGGAGGATGTTAATGGCCCTGATGAGGGGAAGAGACGGAATGTTACGGACACGCTGCGTGGCGACAGAAATGAACCCCCTCCGCTACACCGCGGTTCATCGCTATAGCAGAAGTTTTAGGGATAGAAAAAAAAAAATCTCAAACATGGACATGCATAATGCCAGGCAATTCATTAAAGTGCAAAGCTGGCCAACAAAATAGCTGCGCTAGCAATACTAAGCTAGCAGTAGCATGACAAACAAGCCGTTAGCTACCCACGGCTGCTCCATTGGTCATGCGACACTGAATGTATCGGTTTAACGTTTTGGTTCTTGGGGTGAGTGGTGGGAACGTTTAATCAGATTAACAATGATCATAAACATCGAAAACATGCTCATTTCCATTCGGCCGTTCATGTTTTGCATGAGCATTTTGCGACCTGATTTTCATGAGACGGTTTGATTGGACATTTTCGTCATAAAATAAATGATGTTCAATTGTCTTTTGATTCATGTGTCCATTTCACATGACACTTCAACCGGGGGTGGCAAATAGCTTGACGGAAGCACGGTTTGGCTTTTATTCGGAGACCTGCAAGCTAGAAAGAGCAAGAGCAGGAGCTCAGCGATACTTTAAAAACGCTGTTTTAATCAGTTTAAATGTGTTTAAAGCATGTTGGAGAAGTAGAACTATTCCATTTTTTTAATGGTTCCTCAATGATGCAGATTTGTACTTAGCGTACCAACGGGTCTGAAAGTTAAGCCCTCCCACCACGGATAAACAGGCGTTGCGAGTGTAATTGATCAAACGGGTTCAACTGACCGGATATAGCCATCCATGGAGGCGGCGCATATAATGCTGTCGCTGATCGGGGCAATGCAGTCCACCGACTCCGCTTGTAGGGCAAAGCGATCGCTGGTGGCCCCGAAGCCGTTCCAGTTGAAGATGTAGACGGTGCCTTGGCTCGAGCCGCAGACCACTTTCTTGCCTCGCTTCATCAGCGTCACCGAGGTCAGATCGCTGCTCTGGTACTCCGACAGTAACTCGAAGCGCCGCCTCTTGATGTTGAAGACGCCCATGGTGCCGTCGCCGCTGAATGCGGGCACAGAAGAGGAGGTCAGCGACCGTCAAGGTCAGCAGCGAGCGGTCGCGTTGCACCTCACCTGGCTGTCAGCAGGATCTTTTTGCCTTCATCCACGGCCATGTCACTGATGTAGTCGTCATGGTGCTTCAAATCCATAATGGCCGAACCTTTCCTCATGTCCCACACCTTTTGGACAAGAAGTCGGCATTGTGTTTGTTTGAACAGTGAAGTCCAACTTCACACGGACCAGATTCACGAAATGAGCTTCAACGGGGTATGCCTTAATTAACTTTAAAGCTTTTCAAGCTGTTTCCATCTTTTTTTTTTTTTGGGGGGGGGGGTATTTACAGTCATCTTATACTGGGTATACTGTATTTAGCCTATGAAAAATAAATTCTACTGGTTTTAAGGCCACATTCAAAAATGTCTTTTAACGAACAATCGGCTCGAACAGACGACCCCTTCCTCAAGCTGGTCCTTCAATTTGCATGTTCCACTGTAATGACTGCAACATTTGTGGTCAACATAAACAAAGTAAGCTAATACCATTTTCATTTTGGAGAATATTTCTCGAAAAAAAAACAACTACCCTGACTCTTCGTTAAATGTTTGTTTTGAAATACCTAGATGTATTTTCTGGCAAGAAATAAGTTGGAGCGGGTGGGGGTTGTACGTTCCAGATTTGTACAAGTTATGCGTTGACAGAGTTGCAGACTGTTTTGGGCCGTTAAGTCTATTTTCAAGTCAACTAAAACGATGCTCTTTAACTCTTCAACCATGTAACGGTTTTGTTTTTTTTTGTTTTTTTATGGCCTTAGTCATGGTCTCGGATAGTGCGCTCTTGAGCACAACACGAGTTAGGGGCCGGTGTGAAAAGTTTGAGAACGAACAGGCGCTGACCTTCAGTGTGCCCCCGTCGTCTCCGGTCGCCAGGATGTTGGCGTCCACCAGCAGCAGAGAATTGATGGGAGCGCCGTGCGCGCCGCGGATCCTGCTGACCAGCCGTCCTCGCTCCACGTCCAGCACGTGGACAGCCTTGTCCTTGGAGACGCTGTAGAGCTTCTCGCCGTCGTCGGAAAAACGCACTTGGCGGCAGGACTTGAGGTGGTGGCCGGAGGACCACAGCTCGCGGTTCTCGCCCTCCGTGCACGAGTAGGAGAACGCGTACACGTCGCCGTCCACGTCCCCGCACACCAGCAGGTCGCGGGTCGGGTGGACGGCCACCGTGTTGGCGACCGCCTCGAGCCGGATGTCCTGCGGGGTGTCCAGGATCCTGGGCTCGGTCGAGTCGTCGCCGTCGCCATCCCAAATCACACCTCCCGGCCTTCATTCGGAACTTGCGGGATCGCCATTCACGTCCGTTTCTGACGTTGACGGCAATCCGGCGTGTTCCGCGGGCGCTGCCATGATGTTTTCGTTTGCTTCCTTCTTCTTCTTCTTCTTCTTCTTCTTCTTCTTCTTCTTCCCGCAAGAAACTGTCAGGCCGCCACCTACTGGTAATGTGACTACTAACCCCAAAATAAGCCAACTCAACTCCACTCAATTGTCTTTCGGGAGCACTTTAAATACAACCAAAGCGGTCTACAATATACTGTACATGGAGACAATAAAACAATACACTATTAACAAAGACAGTAGGAAGCACAAAAAGAGTTAGCCAAAGTAAAAGCCTTATGCTGAGTCAAAAGCCAAAGAATAAAAATGAGTTTGAAGACCAGTTTTCAGGAGGGCTCGCCTACCAAAGAGAAGGAGCGGCAACGGAAAAGGCTCGGTCCCGTCGGAGACTCCGCTTAGTTCTCGGTACCTCGAATAGTGTCCCGTCCACAGATCTGAGGCACTGGGCATGCGCAGAGGAGCCCAGGGAGGTCAGGTGGGGCCATGCCATTTCAAGATTTGAAAACAAATAGAATAGGATCTTCAAAAGAACTCCAAAATGAGCCAATGAAGGGATGCCAGAGTAGGAGGGATGCGCTCCCTCTTACGAGTACCAGTCATGAGGCGAGCGGCGGCATTCCGGACCAATTGGAGACACTTGATGGAGGATTGGCTGACTCCACAGTCAAGTGTGTTCCGGTGATCCAGCCGGGATGTGACGAAAGGCACGAAAGACTGTTTCAAAGTGCTGAGACATGAGAGCGACCGTGCACCTGCCCCAAAATAATCATCGTCATGGGGAGGAAGGCATGAGCAAAAAAAAAAAAAAGACGCGTTTTTTGAAGCCCCAGCAATGCTACACAAAACGCTGATAAGCATTGGATATGCGTATTGCAGGAAACATGGGGGGGGGGGACTAGGGGACTATGCGAAACCGTGGGGTTAACGGTGGTGCCGAACACAACAAAATAAATGATGCGAGTCATCCATATTTATTTGTCACATCATATGACGAACTAAAAACTGTATCTCACAAAGTGTACAGTTGATGAGCTTGACGCTGATTAATTCGCCGCCGGACTCGAATTCGGTCTTCACGTCGCGTTCGTCATCGGTTTTATGTTGAAAGACTCCGGAAGTGGCTCTTGGCGTGACGTGCAGGGAGCTTGACGCGTGTGTGCCGGTGTCGCTCGCTGCGGCTCATCGCAACATCTCGGCTGTGTTCGCACGCATCGTTCCATGCAGGTTGGTACCATCTCCGTTTTCCAGTCTCGCGGAGGAACCGGGGCTATTCTCGAGACACATTCTCGCTCAAAGAAAACGTTTCGCGAGTGCGCACTCGTTCTGAGCCGCTCTATTGCGACGATGGAGGCGGTGTCATGACGAAATGGCGGCCAGGTCCGCTTGGATGACGTCCGTCCTGTCGTCGGCTGGCTCCGCTGCGCGCGTCGGGGAAGCCGAGTGGCGCATTGCGGCCAGGTGCGCGATGACGCGGCAGCCGACGGCAGGGGCCGCTCTTTCGGCCCCCGGCCTTGATGTTTTCGAGGAGTCGTCGTCGTCGGCATCCATCCGCGCGCAATCGTTTTCGCATCAGCGGGCGAGTCGGAGCTCGCTCGGCTGACTGTGGGCGAGACACCCCGCGGTGGTCGCCGGCCGTCACACCGAAAGTCAATCCACCTAACTCGCCTCGCGAGGATGATGGCCATTGCGATTTTAGACGCGAGATTTTTTTTCCTCTTCTCATGTATTTGGAACGAACACAAGCGATGCATTCGTGTGTATTACAAGGACTCAGAGCGGATTTATTCTACATGAATGGTCACGCGAACGACGAGTTAACATCTTTCTTCTCGACTTCAATCACGATGGTAAACTTACGAACCACTTTGACTCGCAGTCTCTTACGTGTTCATGACTTCAAGATTCTCCCAAACCAGCGCGGCGTCAAAATAAATCGCAAAGTTTGATGACAACAGGAATGCAAACAAATCTGTAGCTTTAGCACTTCATCTGGGCTGTATGTTGCACATAAAGCGCATTTGACAATGAAGTTGAACTTGACTTGATATATAGAGAGAGAGAGAGCGCGCGAGCGCAGTCTATCTGTATCTCGAGATATCGATTGACATAGCGATATATGTCTATATAAATCCCTGAAAGATGTCGAGATGTTAGCCTTGAAGCGGCGTGACCCAAGTATTTGCTTGGCTTTTTTTTATTTTTTTTGCAAGCGTTGATGCGAGCCGGCCATGTCCACCGCGGTGTACCCTCGAGAAGAAGCCCTGGAGCGTCTGAGCCAGGACGAGATCGTGGTCAACACCAAGGCCGTCATGCAGGGCCTGGAGACGCTGCGCGGCGAGCACGCCCAGCTCCTCAACTCGCTGCTGGACTGCGCTCAGCCGCCCGCCGCGCAGGAAAAGTCCGGCGCGCTCCGCAAGAGCATGGAAGCCATTGAGCTGGGCCTGGGAGAAGCTCAGGTAGGTGAGCCGCCGTCGGCTTTTTCCTCCGCGCCTCGGCCGCGGGCTGAGCACCCGTCTGGGGGGCGGGGGGGGTCCAGGTGATCATCGCCCTGTCGGGCCACCTGAGCGCGGTGGAGTCCGAGAAGCAGAAGCTGCGCGCGCAGGTGCGGCGCCTGTGCCAGGAGAACCAGTGGCTGCGCGACGAGCTGGCGGCCACGCAGCACAAGCTGCAGCGCAGCGAGCAGAGCGTGGCGCAGCTGGAGGAGGAGAAGAAGCACCTGGAGTTCATGAACCAGATCAAGAAGCTGGACGACGACGCCGATGCCGGCGCCGGCGCCTCGCCCTCTGACGACAAGAGCCAAAGCTCATCCGGGGACGCGTCCAAGGACGGCCTGGACGATTTGTTTCCCAACGACGACGACCACGGGGCAGGTATGGCGTCACGCGCGCCTTGCTCGTTTTGGCGCAATGATCCACGCTGACCTCTCGAAAAGCACGACCGCCTCAAAACTTGTCTTACCTTTGGCCTTGACTTGCTGCTGAACTCATCGTATCACTTTGCGCCATCTTGGCATGGCGGAACTATGTTCACCTCAATCCAATGGAGCAAAGGCAACTTTTTAGCTGCTAAAAAAACATGTCGAGACTCCCCAAACAGAACACGGGAAAGCTCGCTTTGCGCGTTCAGTCGATGAGACGGTTTTACGAAGGTGTTGACGGATGAAAGCGGACCACGTGGCAGGCCAAATCCGGAAAACTGCTTCACGTCAATCCAAAAATGGAATCTCGCAAGCTCTGAAGGGTTCTGGATCGTCCCCCGTGAGGCCAGACCCCTCGAGCCTTCTTCGGGCGCAGGCCGACGGGGTGTCGCCAGCAGCACGGAGCGGACGAACCCTCGTCGAAGAAAACCCGACGAGCGAGACGCGTTCCCCCGACAGCGCGCGTCCTCCCAAAGCAAAAAAGACGGTTGGCCGACGCTTTGCTTTCCGCGCAGCTCAGCCCAGCGGCGAGGCGGCGGCGCGGCAGGGCGGTTACGAAATCCCGGCCCGCCTGCGGACGCTCCACAACCTGGTGATCCAGTACGCCTCGCAGGGCCGCTACGAGGTGGCCGTGCCGCTGTGCAAGCAGGCCCTGGAGGACCTGGAGAAGACGTCGGGACACGATCACCCCGACGTGGCCACCATGCTCAACATCCTGGCGTTGGTCTACAGGTGGGCCGGCCGACGCCGAGGGGAGCGCGCGTGTTCCTTTTGATGACTTTCGAAGGCACGTTCCTGCGCGCGCAGGGACCAGAACAAGTACAAGGAAGCGGCGCACCTCCTCAACGACGCCCTGGCCATCCGGGAGAAGACGCTGGGCAAGGACCACCCGGCGGTGGCGGCCACCCTCAACAACCTGGCCGTCCTCTACGGCAAGAGGGGCAAGTACAAGGAGGCCGAGCCTCTGTGCAAGCGCGCGCTGGAGATCCGCGAGAAGGTAGGACCGGCCGACTCGCGTCACCCGACTTTGGCCGGCGCTCGCTCCGCAGCCGCGATCGTGGCGATCCGTGGCCATTGGCTTCTTTTTGACCCCGTGTCACCCGATGCAGTGAGTTGGCCGTTTGGGCCCGTTGCTGCGCGACGCAACCTTAAAACTGTCACCTATTATTGATTGATTTCCTTTTTAACGCATTTTATGCACACGAGACGACAAACAGAATGACATTCAAACCCCCCCCCCCCCCCGTCCCCCAAAAGGCAAATAGTCAAATGTTCTGCCTGTAATTTATGTCTTCATTTTTTTTCATGACACAGTGATCCCTCGCTATTTTGCGGTTCGTTTATCGCGGCTTCGGTGCATCGCGGATTTTTTCAAACATTCAAAATAAAAAAAATAATTGAAGTCCCCAAATGGTCCGTGAGAAGCAGTAAAAGTCAGCAAACCAACAGCGAGCAACATATACAGTACTACATGTATATGTTGACTGTATTTTGTGATTCATAAACTAACCAAACTTATCCATGTTTAATTCTATTAATATGCAGCCTTAAGTCATGTTAATGACTACAAACATGCATGTATCCCATTCAATTTGGCCTTATAAATATTTTTTCTCCTCATACACATGTCCATGTACCTATACGGGGTGGGGGGGTCGCTACTTCGCGGATTTTCGTTTATCGCGGGTGGTTTCGGTCCCCATTAACCGCGATAAACCAGGGATGACTGTATATTGATGGGCCAGTGAAATCTCGGGATTGGCCTTCATACTATAAAAAAACTGCTTTTTTGTTTTCCTTCGCCTCACTTGTGCGGCGACGTCTGTGAGCTCGCTTTTGGTTTTTGGCAACGGCAAGTTAAAAAAGCCCAAAACAAACCATTGGGCTTCGCGGGGGCGCGCGCGCGCGCATTGATGGCAGTCCGTGCGGCCCCGCAGGTGTTGGGCAAGTACCACCCGGACGTGGCCAAGCAGCTCAACAACCTGGCCCTGCTGTGCCAGAACCAGGCCAAGTACGCCGAGGTGGAGTACTACTACCGCCGCGCCTTGGAGATCTACCAGTCCAAGCTGGGCGCCGACGATCCCAACGTGGCCAAGACCAAAAACAACCTGGTGGGCCTGCGCCTTTCCGCTTCGCTTCTCCGTTCGGTGCGGGCTCGCAGTGAGGCCGCTGCGCGTGTCGCCCGCAGGCCACGTGCTACCTCAAGCAGGGCAAGTTCAAGGACGCCGAGACGCTCTACAAGGACATCCTCACCCGAGCGCACGAGCGCGATTTTGGCTCCGTCAATAGTAAGTCCCCCACGGACGAGGCCTTCCCCAAGGGGCGGGGCCTCTTGGGAACGGGGAGACAACTCAAACTCCCACGCGCCCGAAAACCTCTCCGCCAACACTGACCTCTCAACAACAAGAAAATCACCTCCCAAAAGCCTCACACACAACCCCAAAACCTCTCCAACGCGCTCAAAAACATTCAAAACAAAATACTCTTGTCACTCCCCCCCAAAGCTCTCTTTCACACAAACACACACCGGGAAACCTCTCACAGGCCACAACAAACAAAAAGCCCACACAGGAAAACCACCTCATGCTCTCACCAAAAACTTGTCACACTCACTGGAAAAAAAAAACTCCCCAATGCACCAAAAAACTTGACGTTCACAAAAAGCTCACACACACTGCAAACATACACTTCTCACATTCACAAAACACTTAAAAAAATATCAACTTCACTCTGAGTAAAGCCTTTTTAAAGCCTGAGGGGTTTTTTGGGTGTGTGAGTGACATTTTTTGGAGGGGGGGTGGGGGGGGGCTGTGTTTCTTTCGGTGTGTCTGTGTGTGTTTTGCAAAAGTGATTTTTGGTGGGTTGGTTTACGGTAATGCGCCAGGGTTTTGGGAAGATTTTTGTTTTGACCCTGAGAGGTTTTTGGGTCAGTGTGAGAGGCTTATCCGACTCTAGAGAGACCCAGCTCTCCTTTCCAGGCGTTTGAAAAAGACTGTGTGTGTGTGTGTGTGTGTGTGTGTGTGTGTGTGGCAGACGACAACAAACCCATTTGGATGCACGCCGAGGAGCGAGAAGAGAGCAAGGTGGGCCGACACGGCACAATGGCGCGGCGGCGAGTTGAAAAAGGATGAGTCATGTTTCCTTTTTCTGGCCAGGGCAAGCAGAAGGAGGCGGGGCCATACACGGAATACGGCAGCTGGTACAAGGCGTGCAAGGTGGACAGGTGAGTGTTTGACGCCGCTCGCAGGACCTCTCTCCTGGATGGAGAGAGGACGGTTCTTTATCCTCTGTGAAGAACGACTCATATTACTGCTGTAATGAGAAGCAAAGAGAGGACGTCGGCCTCCAGGACAGGTTATCCGTGTGGCTGTCTTCTACCCGTCCGTGCACAAGGGCCTGACCGATGAAGCTAAATTCTTGCGCGTCTGTCTGTGGCGTGTTTTTAGGCATGGAAATTCCTAGGTTGTGTAGCCTTCACAGTCTCTCATTTGACGTTGTGTATTTAGTCAGCATTTCAACCTTGCTCTACGCCTCCAAATAAGAGACCCCGCAGAAGACCCCACCGATACATGGCGACGGACCAATACGTCGCGCTGCTCCCTATTTACCGGTGCGTTGGCGCGCTCTAGTGGATGAAAGCAGCAACGCATAAAACGCCGTGAAATCAAACAAACGTTCAAAACGAAGCTGGTTCCCTTCTCGACCCGGTGCGAAAGAATCCTTTGCTGTTTTATGCCGTGGGACTCGAGTCTTTTTTTTCACCGTCGAGCGCGTCTCTTCTCGGCACATCGGAGAGAAGCGCGAAAGCTTTTGACGTCCACGGTGAATGATTTACGACACCTTTTCCGACACCCTTCAAAATAAAAGCCTGGGCTAAATTACCGTAACGGCAAAGGAAAAGGCGCCACCTAAATCCGCAAGAGCAAAAGTCAGAGCGAGGTCACGTATATGTTCTTCTCACAGCCCCACAGTCAACACCACCCTCAAGAGTCTGAGCGCCCTGTACCGCCGCCAGGGCAAGCTGGAAGCCGCCGAAACGCTGGAGGAGTGCGCCGGCAAATCCCGCAAGCAGGTAGGTCGCCCCGCAAGAGGGGTCCCCGCCGAGCGATCGGAGTAAGCTGACCGCGTGCGTGCCCTCAGGGCTTTGACGCCATCAACCAAAGCAAGGTGGTGGAACTTCTCAAGGACGCGGGAGAGCGCCGGCACGGCAGGGAAGGCGGCGGCGGCAACAACTGCGGCGCGCCCAGAGGGGACACCGAGGCCGAAGACTCGGCCGAGTGGAACGGGGTCAGTCAGTCCTGGCGCTTCTGACCAACCACCGCAAAAAAATTGAAATAAAAATGGGAAAATGACGCCGCACGGGACTCTTCCCCCCCGTAGCGAAATGCGCTCTCGCACTTGAGCCAAAGACTCTCGCGGGCGCACTTCGTCACGCACACCCGACTGAAATGCTCACAGCAAAGTTCTCCTCGTTCACCGAAACCACAATTGAATACACACTGTAGTTACAGATTACATTGATAAAATTAGAGTCGAACAAGGAAGGTCAAACGATCATTTCAAAATTGTTGTTGACTTTATTGCAACACTTATTCTTATTTATTTTCGGGGTCATCTTGCACTCCACATCTACTCCATATATGAACCCCAAAATAATAACAGCTCAATTGAAGCAAACACAACAATTTGCTCCCACGCGCTATGAAACACGAGCACGAAATCTCTCCCATGGTACCGAAATGCACTCTCCTGCACTACTCAAAAAACGGATTTGCTCACCCTCACTACGGAAAGCCTGTCACACGCGCGGCCGCAAGCACGCACTCCTGAAACACGGATGTGGTTTTTCCCGCAGGACGGGAGCGGCTCCCTTCGCCGCAGCGGCTCCTTCGGGAAGATCCGCGACGCCCTGAGGAGGAGCAGCGAGATGCTGGTCAAGAAGCTTCAAGGCAGCGGCCCGCAAGAGCCGCGCAACCCAGGGTGGGCCGGCTAGCACGCCGTCGCTTAGCGTAGCAGGCTAGCAGCGCCAGCATCCAACGTGATGGCGTTTTGATTTTTTTCTTGTTCCCAAAGAATGAAGAGAGCCAGCTCCCTCAACTTCCTTAACAAGAGCACCGAGGAGACAGCGCAGGTGAGAACGCCAGCCGCATGAAGGACCATTGCGGACACGAAATTCATGGGAAAAAAACGAGTACGAGTGTGCCGGGCGCGATCACAGCGCCATGATGTCACCCAAAAACTGCTTGACACGACAGAAATGCTCACACAATCTCGTGCACATTTTGTTTCTCCCGACTGAAAAAACAGAACCTCCCAACCTAATTGCTCTTAACTTGAATGAGACACTGTCCAACACGACCAAAACACACGATCTGAAAATGACTTGCTCACACACCATTGAAAAAATTCGCAGACTGCAACACACGCCTGAAACATGTTGTCCCACCCTCCCGAAACGCCCACACGCCAGCCAAAATGTTGCAATCCTGAAAATCTATGCACTAGTGAAAGAGTTTTTGGTCACACACACACACGATTGAACTTTTTTTTTTTTTTTTTTTTAGGATACCAACTCGTGCCTGTCGGAGTGTCGGGGACTCAGCGCCAGCAACGTGGACCTCACTAGACGCAGCTCCCTGATTGGCTAGATGCAGCCAGGACGCAGGGCGGGGGGCACACAAAGCTCGCTTTTTTTTTTTTTTTTTTGTCAACACCGTGTCACTGTTGTACAGTCCCACTCAGCATGTGAACACAAACGCCTCATGACGCAAACTACAGCACGGCCATCGGCGACGCGACATTCACATCGTCACCAGGAGTCATCGCTCGCTTCCCGTCGTGACACGTGATGTCACCTGCTCAACAGTGATTGGTTGTTTTAGAGTATGGGCGTGGCTTTGGGACAGGATGGGGAGTGCTTGTTGTCGCAGCTTTGTGAATGTCACACAAATAAATTCACTCTGATGAGTACTTCTTGCCACTTGCCGAGAACATGGTTGTCCAACAGGTTTCCACAAATCAATAAACATGCTTGATTGTCCTTCCCGAAATTAATAAAGATGTACTCGGACGGAGCACTTGTTTGTTTACATGCTGACACGAGCACGTGCACGCGCAAGGCAACGTTGAGTCCTAAAGGCCCATGTTCCGCATTTTGAAAATGAACAGATGGGCCGGGTCACTAGTGGATGAGGAAAAAAAATGTTGAAAAAGATCATTCCTTTCAAAGATGTCTCCAAATAAATAAGGCCAAAATGCTCATTTTAGACCATCCGAGGGGTCTGTGAGCTGTGCTTCTCTGGTCCCCATGAGCCATGGGTGACCCTCCCACCTTGGCTCCCAGGATCATCGGGACCCACAGAGCCCTCCACCGCGGTAAGGCGACGGACATGGAGGGGACATACCGTACCGACCGTCAAAAGCTGTCAAAGTGACAAAGTCGCATCACTATTTTTTTTTTCCAAAGCTGCATGTACAAAATAAAGAGGAGCGAATGTGAGAAAATACATTTCCATCAAGCAATTTAAAGAAAAACTGTATCGTGAATGTAAGAAATATTCTGCTACCGTTCCTCGGTGGGCTAAATCAGCACACGCACGCACGGCTCAAGGAAGAAGCGAGACACGGCGGTGTGCAGTGATGGTTCAAATCTGACAAGGTTTTTATTTCAAGTTTTGTTGTTTCCAAAAGCTTTTGATGTGGATTTTAGTGGGGGCGGTGGAGGAGGGAGCACAGTCGAAGGTCACACATCAGCCCGTCAGAAACCTTCCAACCACATCTCGTTAAGACTCCCAACACACACACACAAAAAAAAAAAAAACAACAACAAAAAAAAAGGAGGATCCACTTGTCATCATTCCCTGTGCTGCTTTATTTACACCTGGAGCTACCCACAACACTTGACTTCTGATCACGTCGCTGCTCTCATCCCTCCTCCAGACCCGCTGTGGGGCATTTGTGTGTGTGTGTGTGTGCGTGTGCGTGTGCGTGCGTGCGTGTGTGTGTGTGTGTTTGTGTAAACGGGATACACAACAAAGACAAGTTGCTGGAGTGGCCACGCCTCCCGGTGGGCCTCACAGGTCGCTCTCGCCGTAGAGGGCGCTGGAGAAGGAGATGTAGTCCAGGGCACCGGCGGAGCTGTCGGGGCCGACGTAGCGCGTCATGCGGCTGATGCAGTACTCGGCCTGCTCGGGCGGAAGCTCGCGGCGGAGTTCTTCCACTGTGATGTAGTTCTGAGTTGGGGTGGAGGGAAACGTTCTCAGTGCTCGGTCGCATAAGGTGACTCTTGTCTCACGTCAGGGTTCGTTGTAAATTGCTCGTTGCAAAATTTTTTCAAATTTCAAATTGAGGGCCGGGGAAAAGTTGATGAAATCGACCAGGAGATTTCACAATCCTGCAGTCAATAACCCTTTCAAAACTCAAATCTGAGCAATATTCGAGCGGCCATGTCGATTGGGGTTTTTGAAAATGTGAATCCGACCAGAGTAGTTGGTCATATCAGCGCGTCTGGGAACATGTCCATTCAAAGCAACCTTGCTTTGCGTTGTGCGCAGACTCGATCCGCAAGGAATCTTGCTCTTTGGGTTTGCCGTCAAGACGAGTGACGCCGGCGGCGGCCATCTTACGTTGCCGCTGGCTAAGCGAGACGACTTTGAAGACATTGATTTCTCTGTGGCATTTTTACCTCATTTTTTGTCTTGCCGGTGAAAATGCCACAGTGGATTTTTATTCATGCATACACTGTGTGTGTACATGTGTGCGTGTGTGTGTGTGTGTATACACACACACACACACACACACACATACGCATATAGATACAAATGCACACACATACATTAGTTTGTGCGTCTGAACTCAGTTCAGTGGAAATAGACAAGCGGAAGTCAATAAACATGGGGAAACTCCGCCCACTTTTGGAGGGAGGATCCAAAAATGCATCCGATGATTTGATGGAAATTTGAATCCATTCCCGAAATGTGTCACGAAATGTCAGTTGCCACGGAACAAATTTTACCGAGTAAAAAACGAATATTGAAAATAGCAAATACGGTCGCTTTGAGCACCAGCCGAGAAAGCTTCGGGATAAACCCGAGGGCCGACTTGGGGCCGGTCCCGACAAGTCACCGTGGCCCGCCGCTCACCCATTTCATCGAGCGCTTGACAAACGGCGCCGGCCCATCGTAAATGCTCATCAATGCGCGCGTACCTTGTCTGAGGCCAGAATCTTGAAGGAGGCCATGACTTGCTCGGCGGTGTCGGTCTCCGCAGTTTCTCGGGTCATGAAGTCAATGAAGGCTTGGAAGGTGACCACGCCAGTGTTGTTGGGGTCCACCAGGGTCATGATGCGGGCAAACTCAACCTCTCCCTGTCGCACGTAAACGATAGATTGAGAAGACGCGCACGGCTAAAGCAGTCCAGTGCGCCGGGTGAGGCTCACCAGGTCGTAGCCCATCGAGATGAGGCAGGCGCGGAAGTCGTCTGGGTCCATCATGCCATTTCTTTTCTACAAAAGACAAATAGCTGCAAGTGACCTGGCCCATCGGTTTGTGAAACTTTTTTTTTTTTTTTTTTAAATCAATCAATCAAGGGAACGTCCGCCGCACGCGTCCGTCACGCGCGCCTCACTCACCCTGTCAAAGTGGTTGAAGGAGGCCCTGAACTCGTTGAGCTGCTCCTGGCTGATGCCCTTGGCGTCACGGGTCAGGATCTGGTTCTCCACCTCGTTGATGGTTCTGGCAATGGTGGTGAGGAGCTGCTCCCAACCCACACGGATGTGCTGCAGGGGATCAAGTGGGACCTTAGTGGACAAGGAAAGGAAAAAAAAAAAAAACATGCCCCGCCCACCGCCTTGCGCGCACGCACGTTACCTCCATGGTGTAGTTGGTGTGCTTGTTGTCGAAGATGAGCGACTCCTGGCTCAGCTGGTGGTCGCCTTCCAGCTTGTCAATGTTGGACTTGTAGTTGATGATGTTCTGCTCGTACTGTTTCAGACTGTTCATCTGATCCTCCAGAGAGCCGGCGATGTCCACAGACACGTGGCTAATTTCCTACAGCGGAGCGGGGGAGGTGGGAGGGGGCAGCAGAAAGTTGCGTGACACGGCCAAGATGTCACGGCAACGGCCAATCAATGCATGAGATCGGTTGGGAGCGAAAACGACCTCACGTCCGAAGATGAAAACGCCGATACCGGGCCCAGATTGGACCTCGCTTTTCAGCCCTGGAGTTTCAGGGCTCCGACCGCTTCCGGGTTGCCATCGAACAATCCGATTTGGGCCCTTACCTCCATCTTGGTTTGTATCCAAGGTCCGATGATGTTGGCTTGGGCGGCAAATTGGCGCCTGAGCCGCTCGTTGGCCTGCTGTCGGGCCACTTCCTCTTGCAGCAATTGGTCTCTGAGGGGCACCAGGTGTTTGACCTGCACACCGACACCCGGGCCGTCACAAAGAGAGCGTGACCCGACCGGACGCCGCTCGCCCGCCCGCCCGCCCGCTCACCGTGTCCCATTTGGTGCCGATGTCCTGGGGCGTCAGGTTGGTGTAGGGGTTGATGCCGGACAGCTTGATTCCGTACGTCTGAGCGATTTTCACGATCTCCGTGTGGATGCCCAGGGTGGCCATGCGCTCCTTGTCGGCCTCGGGCAGCGTGGCCTTGAACTGGTCGTGGGCGGTGATCAAACTCTGCGGAGGTGGACGGGGAAGGGCGGTGGCGGCGGAGAGGAAACGCGGCCTTCAGCCTCGCGAGAATAGGAGCGACGGACGGCGCGCGGCGTCGGCGGCGGCACCTGGATCTCCTCGATGCTGTGGACGATGAACATGTCCTGCAGGTCCTCCATGGCGCCGTCCATCCAGTTGTTGAAGGGCGCCGCCCTCTTGGCAAACTCCAGGTACAGCTGGTCGATGGTCTCCCACAGCTTCTCCACGCGCTGCGGGGAGGCGCCGCCCGCGTTACCGGAGACGGCGGCCGCGGCGGACCTCGGGCGGGTTTTCGTACCTCCAGAGCGTCGCGCCTCTTCTGGGTCAGAGTGCCCAGGTTGTCCCACTGGTCGCAGATGCCCTGACAGCGGGCGTTGACCACGGCGGCGTCGTGGTAGTCCAGCTCGCTGAAGCGCGACACGGAGAATGACGGCGAGAACGCCGGAGGTCGGCCGACGGCGAGGTCTCGGTCTTACTTGAGCTCCTGCGCGATGGCGGCGATCTGCTCCACGCGGTCCTGGTGGGCGGCGAGGTCGCTCTCGAAGGCCTCGTGCTTCCTCATCAGCGCTCGGATCTCCATCAGGGACGCCGACTCGTAGTCCTTCCTGGAGAGCAGGTCCTCCTTGCCTGAAAGCGCACGGGGGCGAGGCCAGGCTCCGGTCACGCCACCCTCCGCTCGCGACACCGATGGCTGCGAATCGACGGGCACCGACCTGCGGTCCACGACTCGTGCATGGTGCACTTCTGCTTGAACTTCTCGGCGAGGTGGTCCAGCCTCTCGAGGCGCCGGATCTCGGTGAGCAGCCACTCCTCGTAGCCCTTCTCCACCTGCTCCAGGCCCTTCCAGGCGTTGGCGATGTCCTGCGGGACCGAGACGCCGCCCGCCAGTGACTCACTCGCGCCTCGCTGGCGTTGGCCGTGCGTGCGGGGGGCCGCGCGCTCACCGACACCATCTTGCCCTCGGAGGGCATGAAGGCGGGTCTGTTGCTGAGCCTGAGCTTGGTCTGCAGGGTGTTGAAGTTGATCTCCAGCTGACACTTCTCCTGCACCCGCGGCGGTTTGTGCACGCGGCGGTAGTCGCGGAAGTCCTCCAGCTTCTGCTGCATGGCGCGCATGGACTGCTCGGCCACGCGGTTCTCCAGCCAGGGGATGGTGCGGCGGATCCACTCCAGAAGCTGCGCTCGGCCCACAAAAGGCATCGCGCGCTCGAGGGCGGTCCCGGACCAAAAGACAACGCGAGCGGGGCTTTTCTCACCTCGCTGGCCAGCTTCTCGTACTCTTCCATCAGCTTCTCGTTCTCCTGGTTGACCGCCAGCACCTTGCAGATACGGTTGGCGGCCGTCTCGGCCTGCCCGCGCCGGACGGGATCGGTCAGACGTGGCGGCCCGCGGGCGCGCGACCCGTTCCCGGCGACAAAAGCGTACCTGCTCGGCACCGGCGAAGGCGTGGTAAAAGCAGGACACGTAGGTCATGATGGCCTTCTCGTCCGGTTTGGGCGTGTTGACGATGTCTGAAAGGTCCCACATCCACAGTTAGCCTATTGACCATCGCGTCACGTTTGTTCGGCGACGGATGCACTTCCGGCGAGGCAGAAAGCAACCGTCCGCCGACTTGCATTTCGACACGAGGACAAGAAATACAATCGCCACGAAGCCGGCAGGACTCCTGCGCGGAAAGGCGTCGATGGAGCGGATCTGGTAAATAGCACCGAGACGAGCGCAAGACCTCCTTCTCCCTCGGCCAGACGGCACGTAAGGATTGGAATTCGCTCAAGCCACTGACAAGGACGCGCGTCATCGTGGTGAAAACCCGACAGAGCCGATGCCAACTCTCACCTTCGGCGTCCAACATCTTCGGGATGTCCAGGAACTTCTCAGCCACATCGAAGGCTGTGTTCAGGTTGCCGATTGGATCGTCCTACGGGCGACAAACCTCAATTGTGACAAGAGACAGCCTGAGAGGAAGGAAGGAGGGAAGGAAGGAAGGAAGGAAGGAAGGAAGGAGGGAAGGAAGGAAGGAAGGAAGGAAGGAAGGAGGGAAGGAAGGAAGGAAGGAGGGAAGGAAGGAAGGAAGGAGGGAAGGAAGGAAGGAGGGAAGGAAGGAAGGAAGGAGGGAAGGAAGGAAGGAAGGAGGGAAGGAAGGAAGGAAGGAAGAAAGGAAGGAAGGAAGGAGGGAAGGAAGGAAGGAAGGAAGGAAGGTCCAGTGTTGGAAGGAAGGAAGGAAGGAGGCACCTTTCTCAGTTTGGAGTAGTCGATGAGGTCGGGTCTGTGTCTGTGGATGAGGGCGCACAGGGCCAGGCCGTCCTTCCAACTGAGACGGCGGAAGACCAGGAGGAAACCGTCAGGGACGGACACCAAAAGGGCAGCGGCGAGGGACCGAAAGGGGACGGATCCCCTCGGCAACCCACCTGATGTGGAAGTTCTGCACGTTGACGTTCCTGTAGGGAGCGGTCTTCCTCTGGCACCACAGCAGCAGACCCTCCTTGGCGGACGTCTCTGCACCAACGCACACGCGCATACGCACACCTCTTCACTTGAAAGCAGAACACGCACCATTTGACAATCGGCGGTCAAAGTCGGCAAAAGCCCCTGGCCGCCATATCGGCGATTAAAAGCTCAACCTGCAAGTCACTGGGCCCATGTGACGGCGGCAGGGTGCGGTTAGCCTGCTGGCTAACTAGCGCGCGACGTACCCGTCCGTCGGACGCCACAATTGACAGAGCGGCTCGGTGCGGTTATGAAAACGGTTTACGTAGTACCGTGCGCTACTCGGGCTGTCATCCGGTGAAGCCGCGTGGCCGCATAACTTTCAGGAAGCAGGTGCTCAAATGTCCGTCATGTCATGTCATGTTATGTGAAGCCCACGCGCCACCGTGTTCAAGAACCGCTCGACTTTCCCCGAGGCGTCTGTGTTCAGTGAGAGTGACGTGTCGGACGGGCCAGCCGGCCCGGTCGAGCCTCCGAGTTTGGTCGCGGGTGGGCTCGGTGAGCGTGCGGCGCGACGCGGAACAACGGCCAATGAGGAAAACGGCACCGTTGCGGACGACGAATGGAGGAGCGAGTGGGCCTCTTGAGCGTTTGTGTCACAGGTCCCGAGTCCTTCACCGCAAGCAGAAGAGTTTGCGAGCGCAACGCGGCGACCGGAGAAGCTAACGGCTAGCACACACAATCTTCCGTTTCCTCCTCGTTGGACTTGCGGCCGAGCGGCGCTTCAAGATTCCCCCGCACGGGGTCGCGGGCCCGCACGCGCGGGCGCGGGCGCAGACGCACCTTCGACAGAGATGTCCTGGATAGCGAAGCGCAAGATGATGGTCCAGATCATTCCCAAGGTCATCTTCACATTGCCGTCGACGATTTCTGGGAGGGCACACGCACACGCACGGGTCAAGTGCATTTTGTCCTTGTCAAGTCTGAGGGGGCGACGGCGACACACGGCAGTCCGCTCTCACCCTCGGCGCCGATGGACACCAGCTTCACGCCCTTGCTGCAGATGAAGTCCAGAGCTTTGTTGACGTTGGCGATCTTGTGGAAGCGCATCTTTCCCTTGTCTGGCTTGGGGAGCCTCTCGCCTGCCCGCGCACGCGCACGCAATGTCAGCCCGGCCGTCGGGACGCGAGCGCCTCGGCCCGGCTTTTCGCCTGCTGGCCACGCTTACCTGATATGACCTCCAGAAGCAACATCAACTTGAGGCCATTCCTGAAATCCTCCTCAATGTTCTCGATCTGCGTGCCGGCTTTCCTCAGGTGCGAGTTACACCAGGCTGTGAAAGTCTGACGCGCAGCAGCGGATTCAGAACAGGCACGCTCACAATGATCTGAGACGCCTCCATCAAATTTCAACGGCAATCTCTCTCTCTCTATCTCTGTCGTTTCGCCACGAGCGTTATGTTCAGTGCGGGAAGCCGTCTTCCCTCGAAACTGCGCGCAGGAGCAATCGCGCACCGCTGCGACCCTCTCACGTGACCTCTCTGTCATCATTCCTTCCCTTTCACGCAAGATGAATCTACAAACGGGACACCACAACATTCCCACTTTGCTTGCAGTTTCAGTCGTGCGCTCCGTTGTTGTTTGAAGGCGACGACGCGCCGACCGACCGCTGCTTTCAGGAAGTCCAAACATGGGCGTAGTTTGCGAGCCCTTGCAAAGGGGCTCAGGTGACCGGAAGTGTTTGTGTTTTCTATGATTTATGAGAGGGCAACGTGCGACACTAGTTAGTGCAGATTTCACTGTCACAAACCCGAGCTGGGCTTATTTTCTAATCAGTGATTTGCTGCGTCTTGATGCAGAGGCGGCGGTTTGAATTGTGTTGTGGCTCATCGACATCCGGTAACGTTTTGGGATCTGGACGGGCGTGAGACCGCTTTGGCCGTTGCGAGCAGGTCTGAGTTTGTGTGAAGGCTCCCGCGCGGGGAACATCGGCGGGGACACCGGTGTCGCGTTACTCTCGGGGCCGCCCGGCGAACCGGTTCCTTGGGGTCCCCGCCGCTAACCTTAAAACGTCATCCCAACACGGTTTGCCTTCAAAAGAGCCACCGCTTGAGAGCCACGCAGCCAAGCGGACTTTTTCGTCGCCAATGGGGCCTGTCTGATCAAGCGAAACGTTTGACAGTACGACGGCCGTTTCAATTTCTGCGGGTCACCCGACACCGAATTGAGGTCACTTCTCAGGGCGCCGCTCGCATTTGATGTGAGCCCCCCCCCCCCCAGGGAGGGCGGCCAGCCGGGGGTCCTGGCAGGTGCGGGGCTCCTTTTGCCACGCATGACCAAATTTAGACAGACTCCTCATGCGGGCCTCTCAGGCCACTAGGCCAAGTAGCGCGTGTGCGTGGACAAGGTGCATCCAAGCTAAATCGGGTCGCTATGGGACACCGGCGGACAGCTGAGAAGGCGAGATTCCTGAGGCAAGCTCGAAGAGGAAGGGATGGATCGGGGGGGATGACGAGCGCGCCCAAGCACTCCCGCTAGCTCGCTACTTGCAAAAAGCCGGATGAAGTCAGCCCTCACGCTGAAAGCTTGCCCGCGACCCTCGGCGGCTCGCACCTGTTGCTCTCTCAACTCTTGCGATGAGGTCACTTCGCCACCAGCCTGCCCGCCTCCCTCCCTCCCTCCCCCCACCCGGCCGACCCACCTCTTCATGAGGTCTACGTCACTTGAAGGAGGACTGCTGGGTGCTGGACTCCCGCTCGACTTAGAGTGGTTTAGCGGGAAGTGAAACCACCCGCCGCTGTCTCATCCGCAACGGCGAGCAGAACATGCAAAGCCCCCCTCCGAGCCTCGGCTACTCCCCAGCTCGGGCCGTGACGTCACCGCCGCCTCACTCGAGTCGGGAGCAGCTTGCGGGTGCGCCAATTGGAGTCTGCTGCCAGAAACAAGTCGGTCAGGGTGATGTCACAAGCGCCCGATTCGAGGGAGGAGCGGGTCACAGGTGTGCTAATTGGCCACCAGTGAAGGGGGAGGGGGGGCGCAAAACGAGTCACTCCCTTTCGCAACCGGGAAAAAAAAAAACCCAAATCGAAGTTGAGTGAAGTTTTAGGCCGACAGAGGCCGAAGACATGATTATATTTAGACACTCCTGGGAAGGGGTGGGGGGGGGGTCGTGGATTTTGTGGGGAAGGGGGAGGAGGAGGAGGGCCAAGTGAAAGACAACACTGAGACAGTTCCAAGACCAAAAATATCCTCACGGCCACGACTTGGCACCATGACCAGCAAGACAAACACGTCATTGGTGAACACGTTTGAAATCAGAAAGAAAGAAATGAAGGTGAATTTGAAAACTCTCTCATCTCCCTCTCTCACACGCAAACACACACAGAGAAGGGTCGGGGCGGGCGCGTACCTTCCTCTGCTGCTTCTCCCAGGCAGGGTCGAGCAGCAGGTCGCGGTCCCAGTCATCCTCCTGGGTCATGTAGGTCTGCTCGTGGTGGATGGTGTACGTCATGTGGCTCTCGAGCGTCGTCATGGTGGCCGCTGAAAAGAGATCAACAAGAAGGGGGGGACACCGGCTCTCGTCCTGGGGCGCTCACGCCGTGCTCCGCACTGACCGACTGACTGCCGTCAAGCCGGGGGCTGAGGGTCAGGCTCGTGGCCCGAAAAAGGGGCCGGTGGGAGGGCCCCCGAGGCCGCGCCCCTTCCCTCCCAACAGAACACCCCCCCCCCTCCCTCTCCCATGTGCACCTGTTGCTGCTCGCGGGGGAGCGCGAGCGCTCGTCGTCAGCGCACGCAGAAACCCGGGACATGCTTCGGCGTCGGAAAGCTCCCGCCCGCCTTCTTCCGGGCGGCGAGAGGCGAAGCGCT